TCATTCGGATGGTCCACTTGGGCGGGTGTTGTGGCCATCATGTCTGATGCTAGTGTTTGGGTATAGTGCTCATGAAACCCTGGCATTGCTGCAGTGGCCTTGTTTGACATTATAGTGTGTTCCCTTGTAGGACTCCATGGCGGGTGGGGTCAGTGGACACTGAAACTTTTTCTTAATTATGGATCCTCCCAATCCAAATGAAAAAAATAGTAAAACTCCACTTATTGGTAAATGACCACACCTAGCGTTTGAAGATCGTTCACAACATTTCCTATCCAGAGGCTCGAAAGCTATTGTTCCCTACTCCATCTCGGACATATGCCACTACACTACGCTCCACTGCTACAGTGGGAGTGCAGACGGACCTTTGAGTCTTTTTCACGCCATGTGAGAGGTCTTCTTCCCTCCATGGTTAATAGAGTTGATAGGTCTATGTCGACTCCAATCTCTGTCCCCACTATTCCTTTCAGTTATTGCCTTGGTCAACCTCCTCGGGCACCAGCCTCTGGTGTCCATGTGAGTCCTTCTTTGCCCCTAAAAGCAGGACAATCAATCGATCACATCCTCAGTCGTTGGATTCTCACACTGATGACAGAGATCTGCCCACTCGATCAAGGGCAGGATCCATGGAGGTCAATCGACCTCCCTCTATTAAACAAAAATGGTATTGTCATAAACCGAAGGGTTCCCCACCATGTTCTCCTAAACATACATAACAATGGCCGCTTTGATACAGTGAAACTGTCGATGGTTTCATTCTAATTTCGATGACATTAAGGCCTTGATTGACTCTTATCATCCAGTGCGTCTATCCTTGCAGGAAACATTCCTGAAACCTGCTGGGTTTTCTCTGTACCAGAATGACAGGTTGTGTGATGGGCGGGTGCATGGAGGGGTGACACTGCTGGTCGACCAGCATGTGCTCTCCTTATCTGTTTTCTCGATACACCCTTGGAGGCCATAGCCATCCGTGTTTCCTTGGGTTGTATCATCACTGTTTGTTCTCTCTACCTGTCTCCTGGGTAGACTTATGATCAATCAGACCTTGATGCTCTTGTTGAACAGTTGCCATCTCCCTTTTTACTTCTGGGAGACTTTAATGGATACAACCCCCTGTGGGGTGGTGCTGATATTGATGGGAGGAGTCGTTCCATTGAGCATATGCTCTCGGATCACAACCTTTCATTCTTCAATACTGGTACATATACTTATTTTCATGTACCTAGTCAGTCTTTTACTGCCATTGATCTCTCGATTTGCTCCCCTTCACTTTTCACTCACTTTTCTTGGATGGTCTGTGACCCATGGGGCAGTGATCATTTTCCTATCATTATGAGGGAGGTTGGCCATGGTCGATGCCACCTGACCCGAGTGCCACGGTGAAAGCTGGACCAGGCTAACTAGCCATCTTTCACCTCTCTCTCTGAACTTGATCCTGCCCTCGTCTGTCTGCCATCAATAGATGACTGTGTGGTTGCAGTAACTGACTGTATTGTCCAGGTGGCAGCTCATTTTATTCCTAAGACCTCGACACATTTTCAACAGTATACTCGTCCATAGTGGAGTCCTGCCTGCCAGAGGGCACGGAAGGCTCAAAAACGGGCCTGGGATACATTCCGATGATATCCCTCTCTTTCTAACCGCATTGTTTATCAGCAAACCCGTGCCCATGCTCAGAAGGGTCGACATCAAAGCCAAAAGGAATCTTGGATTAAATTCACTAATAGTATCTCTTCTACCACCAGTTCCAAAATTGTATGGGACAAGATTTGGAAAGTTTCTGGGAGGTATACTTCCATCCCCTTTCATCTTGCTCTTCAATGGCCAGGAAGTT